CCAACAAACACAGCAAGTGATCTGGTTTGATGTTTTTTTTTAACTGTACACAGAAACCTGCTTCTTCCTGCAATGCACTGCAGCACATGTAATTATGGTTACTTTGTTTTGCCTTTTATTTCTACAGTTGTTTTTTTTTTTAATAGATTTATTTTTCTTAACGTTTAAAATGTACTTCTCTCTGGTCATGTATGCTAGTGACCAGACTTCTCGTTATTTATGAAAATTTTACTTTATTAAACCCTGCCCCTTTCTTATAATCGACTGCAAGCTTGCATTCAGATTTGCCTCCATCCAGTTAGCAACCGATGAATAGAACCAAGTCCATGTCATGTTTTGTCCTTTATGATAATCTGGTCCAACTGTATATACATCACAAAACAATAAAAAAGATAAAGATTTTTAAAAGACTTTTAAGATTTTTGCTCCTTGTCATGTATGTTTCTGATGTACACATAATATAAAATTGAAAACTGTTCAAATAAATGGAGCAAGCCACATAGAGTTCTTTTGGATGCCTATTTAAATATTTAATCTTTAATGATGGTTTCAAATTTTATGTCGACAGCTTGACATTTGAAGACATTTACATTGAATAATTACATAAATTAATTCAAATTCAAAAGCCATGCAAATGTTTGCCATCACTTTTGTTACTGTTAATATTGTTAATATGCCTTTGAATATGTTAATTAACAAGTGAAAATCAAAGACTTCATTTGATATCATTTTGTTTGTATATGTTCAAATGAAAAACATGCCTTAAAAATAAACTTTCTTGGAAATTTCAAATAAATATTATGTTAGTTTGCAGATACTATTTTGATTTTAAACCTCTGTGGTCAAGCAGGTTCCATTGTAACATTAGAATACTTGTCTCTCTCTAACTCTGTCTTTCTCTCTTCCTTTCCCTCCATCAGTTCGTCTCCCCTCTGCGTTTATGAATGGGACCCGCGGCCATTGTCTCTGTGTCAATCACACACTCTCACACACATACCCAGGAGACACACAATTGACATTTGGCAGATTGCTCTGTGTGTGTGAGTGTGAGAGTGGATGTGTGTGTTTTAGGTTATTAAGATAAGGCAGGTATGCCGTAGGTTCTTCATTAACATGTTAGAGGATCTCATCATCCTTTCTCCTCTAGCACTGTGGCCGTAATTGAGTAAGGCTATTAGACACAGAGTGATCGCGCCTGTGTGATGGCAGGAGAGGGATGGTGGCGTGGCCGATGGTGGAGGATGGAGTCTTATAACTGCATGACACAGTGTGTGTGTATGAGAGCATGTCTATATATGTGTATATGCGTGCTGATGGGATAGGGCTATTAAAGATGATGTCGGTTTAGGTAGACTTTAATAGTCCTGCTGAGCAGCGGGTAATTGGCCGTGTCCTGAGAAGATAGGAGAGATTGATTTAGAGGTGCCTGTGTTTAAGTGGACACCTTGGAGGAGTGAATTTTAAGCTGTAAATTGGTAAATTGTGGCTATAGTGCCACTTGGCATCTGTAACCACAATATGAAAGTGACGTGACGTGGCCAAGTATGGTGACCCATACTCGGAATTAGTGCTCTGCATTTATCCCATCCAAAGTGCACACACACAGCAGTGAACACACACCGTGAACACACACCTGGAGCAGTGGGCAGCCATTTTTTGCTGCGGCGCCCGGGGAGCAGTTGGGGGTTCGGTGCCTTGCTCAAGGGCACCTCAGTCGTGGTATTGGAGGTGGGAGAGAGCGCTGTACATTCACTCTCCTATGAATGGGAGAAATGGAAATATGAGTATACTGTAAATACTTCTTATAACACTGACCATATGATTCTTAATAGTCATAAATCGATCTTGAATTTGTCATATAAAATGCTTAATTTAATATATAACAATCATTTTAATGTAATATATTATCATTTTTAATTATATTAAAAATAGTTGCCAGAGTATGGGTCACCATACTTGGCCACATGTCACGTCACTTTCATATTGTGGTTACAGATGCCAAGTGGCACTATAGCCACAATTTACAGCTTAAAATTCACCCCTCCAAGGTGTCCACTTAATATATTATCATTTTAAATTATATTATATTATGGGAGGCTTATGGATCTATTTCTACTTGAACCCATAAAAAAGAACTTTGTGATGTATTTAGGTTGTTTCAGTCATATTTCATATATTCATATTTTTGACGTTAATATATAATTTAATTAATTTAGATGTTATCTATTTGTAGCTGTCTGCTTTTATGATTTTCTGAAATATCACACACTCTTAAAAATAAAGGTCTCAAAATGTTTTTTTTTTTTGTTGCAGTGATGGCATAGAAAAAACGTTTTTGGTTTCCCAAAGAACTTTCCAGTGATCAGAACCGTTTACATTTTAATGATCGAAAGAACCTTTTCCCATTATAAAGAACCTTTTGTGGAATGGAAAGGTTCCATGGATTTTAAAGTTTCTTCATGGAACCCTTGATGCCAATAAAAAGCCTAAGAGTGCAGTGATTTGTTCTAAGGTCTTTTGGATAGTGAGAACTGCTTTTCTGTTTTGAGTCCCCCCCCCCCCTTCTCTTTCTCTCTCTATTTTCAGTATTATTTATTTTCAGCCTTGCATGGATCTGCTGATGGTCTCTTGTTCTGATGGATATTCTTCTTGAATCACATTCCACCATAGTACTTAGATATTGGCTAGTTATAAAAGTCATCCCTTAAAACTGTGAGTAGAACGTGTTAAAACAGGAGGAGGAATGAGTGGTGCAAATTATATAGGGAAATACAAGCAAAGCTGTTTCAGTGTGACCAAAATTGAATCTTAATCTCAGAATGATTAGTGCACTGTAACAAAAATATAAAAATAATATATAATAGTATAACATTTAAAAGCATAATTTAAATGTACACCATAGTAAATAGTTTCAATACTGTATAAACATCATAATTTCCCATAATGCTACAAATTTAAAAAGCTGTAGATTCATGATACAATATTACCACATGATGTCTTCGCAACATCATCTTTCTGTTTAGAAATTAAACACTGCCATCTTGTGGTTGATGAGAGGTTTACATTCTCCCTATTGCCATTGTGCAGGGGTGTCCAAATTTAGTCCTTGAGGGCCACTGTCCTGCAGAGTTGAGCTCCAACCCCAATTAAACACGCCTGAACCAGCTATTTAAGCATACTAAGCTTACTAAGCATACTAGAAACTTCCAGGCAGGTGTGTTGAGGCAAGTTGGAGCTAAACTCTGCAGGACAGTGGCCCTCCAGGACCAAGTTTGGACACCCCTGCCATTATGAAAAACACAAAAGCTTTTGGTTGAAAAAGAAGAACTTAAAAAAATCAGCTCTTGCATGTCTAATTAAGAACTTTTTGTACATTGTACAGAATGAGTTACCAGAATTTTACCATATAATAAATTCAATGGCAATGTTCCAAGAAGATTAAATTGCTGTATATTTTATATTTCCTATACTTGTAGGCAGTGTTGGGGAAAGTTACTTTTAAAAGTAATGCATTACAATATTGCGTTACTCCATAAAAAAGTAACTAATTACGTTACTTAGTTACTTTTTATGGAAAGTAATGCGTTACGTTACTTTTGCGTTACTTTATAAATCTGGACAGGGCTTGCTTGTTTGTTTTTAAAATAAAAAAGTTCTATGTTTGGCAAATATAAAAGCCTTTTCACACCAAAAGTGAAATGAATAAGCCTCAGGCTGAAGGGAAAGTAAATTTACGTCCGTACAGTAGAATGCAGAAGACGACATTTCAACACACTTCAGCAATAAAAAAAAGACACAAATGTTTGTCTAGAGTAATTTTTGCTTATTAGTACGGTTGAACTGGATCATCGAAGGTCAGAAGCAAAGACATTAGTTAATAGAATGGGATTAAATACATAAAGGATATTTGTGTTGTTTAACATTTAATTATTGCAGGTTTGCGTCCTATTCTGAGTTGCATTATTTTTATTCATTTTGAGGAATACTGAATCTGTGTTTTTTTAGTTTTTTTTGTTAGTGAGATGAATTAACGCATATACATATTTATTTTAGAACTACAGTAACATCTTCTGATTTCTGTCACCATGGCAACACCAGAGCTGTCAATCAATAAATTGGAAAAAAAGTAACTTGCGTAACTTATTTGAAAAAGTAACTCAGATATTCTCTTGTAAATTAAAAAGTAATGCGTTACTTTACTAGTTACTTGAAAAAAGTAATCTGATTACGTAACTCGCGTTACTTGTAATGCGTTACCCCCAACACTGCTTGTAGGCCTATATGTCATGAAATTTTATAAAACCTCTGACCTATTACAATGTTTGTTACTGTAAAATGTATAATAATACTTCTGATGGTACAATGAAAGGCCTCACAATGACGTTTAATTCATTTAAATGGGCTCTGCAGCAATTGACCAATAACAAAATAAAAACTTAACCAAAATGGTTAACCACACACACACACACACACACACACACAAATCCTATAAAAATTAACTAAACAACATAAACGGCAACATAACTGAGAACTAAAATGTGTGTGTGTTTTTTTCTAAATAATTATGGAAATAGGCCTAACTCTTTGCCGTAAATTACAAGGTGGTTCATACTTCATAAAACCACAATATTTTATTGTATAAATATAGTTATTGCCTTGTTAAATGTACATTTTTTAAATCTGTGAATTATAGGTTTATTCATATTTTACTAGAAAACGATGTTACAAATGTTACAGTACAATGAGTAGCCTGTCTTTAAAAAATATGTGTTTAGTACCGTTTATAACTTTCATTTAACCAATTAGCGTGTTTTGCTGCAGCAGTTTTCCATTCTTTTCCCTTTAAACGTTACAGTATCTGACTGCGCTTCATTTTCACACGTAGTGCGATGCTATTGGAACCCAAAGCTGGCAATCTGTATCGACTGACGTGCGTGGCGAAGAAAACACGGCCGGAGAGGGGACACATAATGTGTTAAATTAGTGTACGACGGTCCGATAAATTCAGAAATGTACAATAATGCGGTAATACATTTAAAAAGGGCTATTGCTAAATACTGTATACGGTTGATATTATGACTGAGCGCCGTGTCGTTATCAAACAACATCACTATCGGTTACAAATCTCACCATAAGCGGATTGGTTTAGTCCTATTCATTAACTGCACCCGAGCCTGGCGCCTCTCCACCGCGGACCAACAGAAACGCTTTATCATGAAAGCGATTTAATTAGCTATATTTTATTATTTGTTATCAGTCTAAGCATCGGTACTGGAATGCGAAAAGTAAATCAGGCCCGAGTCTCTTTGCGTGTACAATAACTATTATCGTATCATTAGGTCCAGCGCATCCAGTCATGTTTCTTGTGCGTCAGCTGCTGCAGTTCTCTGTGCTGCTAGATGCGACGGTGTGGCTCGCGGTTTCTGCCAGCCCTACCGATGATAATGTACTGCGGGGCGGCCATGGAGAACACGGAGAGCCGGGGCATGAAGAACCCCATAAGGATTCTTACAGCACATTCGCCTCCGAGTTCCTCGAATCCAGATACCTCTCAGACGAAGGTACGATGGAATAAAACTGTAACGCTTAATCTGAAGTCATCAGTGCTGTTTTTGTGTTGTTTCTCAGTATGTGAGTGCAATTCATAGAAGCACTGAATACATGTAGTGAATGGTCACCATCTGATGCCCTTCCTCGACCACAGGCCTTTTAAGTAGGTTAATAATATTGTCTGTTATTGATAATTATAATTTTTTTTTTTTTTTTTTTTTACAAAGATTGTTTTTGATTCGCTAATATAATCATATGGTACAACATCAGCACCTTGGTCAGCACCCCACAAGACTCACATCCAGTTACCCGCAGGCTTTCCCAACCCCATATTTTGTACTCTACTTTTTTGGAGAAACTGCAGATACCTAGACAGTGGTTCATTAAGTCGCAACACATCAAATAGAATAGAATCTCTTATGGCCACATGACTGGGCCTGTGTTGTAGGTACAGCTATGTAACATACCTGATGGGACAGTGTTCAAAATAATAAATGTGTGAATATACAAAATCATGTATAATATACAAAACAATACAACATACACTACCGTTCAAAGGTTGGGGGCTGGTAAAATTAAAAAATTCAAAGATGTAAGATTTTAACGACCCTAGGAGGTCTTTGTGGGTCATAAAGGCAACTAAAAATTGTTGTTGTTTTTTTTCTCAAACCTGTGTGTGTGTGTGTGATTAAAACATGTTTACACAACATGCTACATTAGGCAAACTTTACCCAAAGCTAAGGTTAAGAAACTGAAGTTCAACAAAGTCACTGTCCATCCCACATAGCAATGTATGAAGTAAAATTAAAATGTAACATACAAATATATGACATCATTAATGATTATTTTTGTAGTAGGACTAGCTGAAACAGTTCATTAATGTATTGTGTCTAATGTCTCATATAGGTTACCCCTTCCCAACTGCACCCCCTGTAGACCCATTTGCCCGCATCAAAGTTAGTGACTGTGGAATAACCAAAGGATGCATCAGGTGAGCAGATGGAATAAAGGTTAAAATGAGTCTATAAACAATAGACTATTGTAGTGTCAATGTCAAACTGTGTATTGCAATCAAACTGCAGTCTGCCATGCTATCCAGTACACTCAAGTGTGATTGTCAATCCGAGTAGTCAAGCTGCTACTCATTGTCATTCAGTGAAATGTTCTGGAGCATGAAATATTCATGTAGGATGTTTGAATGTATGTTTTGATGGTTATTATTAAAGGGATAGTTCACCCACAAAATCAGTCATCACTCACTCATCTTTATGTTGTTCCAAACCTGTATGACTTTATTTCTTCTGTGCAACACAAATATTTAGCTGTTTTTGTCCATATAATGAAATTTAGCAGTATTTAAAACAACACAGGACCCCACTGACTTTCATTTTATGGAGGAATAAACATAAAATGAAAAGATATTTTTTCAAAATATCTTTTTTTTATGTTTCGCAGAGAAAGTCAGATCGGTTTGGATTCACATGAATGAATAAACTGTCCACATTTTAAGTGTGCCTCACTTTGTCTTCCTCTTAACCTTTCTGTTACTGTAGATATGGCAAACCAGGCTGTGACGCAGAGACCTGTGACTACTTCCTGAGTTTCAGGCGCATTGGCACAGATGTGGAATTTGAGATGAGTGCAGACACAGATGGATGGGTTGCTGTCGGTTTCTCCTCTGACAAAAAAATGGTAGAGAGGGAGGATTACATATAAATGGTGTGAATGCTTTCAGACCTTTTAAGAAATACACAGTAAAATTGTTGTCGTAGGGAGGTGATGATGTCATGGGCTGTGTTCATGATGATAATGGACGTGTACGGATCCATCATTTCTACAACGTGGGCCAGTGGGCCAAAGAGATCAAGCGCAACCCGGCGCGGGACGAGGAGGGCATCTTTGAAAACAACCGTGTCACGTGCCGCTTCAAACGGCCTCTTCACGTGACGCGGGAAGAGACGCTGGTAGACCTGCACCTGAGCTGGTACTATCTGTTTGCTTGGGGACCTGCCATACAAGGTAAAGAAATTCAGCCTCATTTTAAAAGAATAGTTCCAGTTCCAGTTCCAGTGGATCCAGTGATAGGTGTCATCAGAATGAGAATCTAAACAGCTGATAAAATATGCACAGATCAAGCACAGTTTACAGGCAAAATATAAATAAATTACGAAAAACAGTCCAAAACTGTTTATGTTGGTGGGTTTTGATGTGAGAGGACAACAGTGGACAGACCTTTCAAGTGTTGTTCTTGATTATGGACTGGTATTTTGGCCAGAAGTGATGGTTTAAAGTTAAAATGCCTTGATGGATTTGTTACGTACAAACACGCAGCTTTCACTTCACAAGACATTAATTGATGGACTGGAGTCATGTGTATTATTGTGATGTTTTTGTCAGCTGTTTGAACTGATGGCATCCATTCACTGCAGAGGATCCACTGCTGAGCAAGTTAATGTAATGCTGTAATCTACATCCAAGGCCATAGCCATGTCTTGAACATTTGGGGGGACCAGGAGCACAGAAACTTGTCAATGCTGCCCCGCAACTTTTCTCAATAAAATAGATTTGTTACTGAATCTCTGAATAGCTGAATAGCTGTCGGTCATTTAACATTTCTATCGTAGAAAGGTTGACTAATATTAATGATTTACAACTTCCATCTTCTCTTTCTCTCTTTCCTCGCTGGAATTCACACTCTGCTTCTATGAACAGTAAACCCCGCCTACTTTGATTTGATTGGCCATCTCAATTATTTTGACATTGATGGCATCATGATGGTTAGACCGCTGAGGCAGAGCAGGCTAAAAATGTAAATTTTAAAGTGTGTGAGTGTGTGTGTGTGGGGGGGGGACTTGTCCCCCTCAGTGTCTATGGTGGTTATGGCCCTGTCTACATCTACACCTTGGATGGGCTGAGGTGGAGTGAATATTCAGCAAATTTTCATTTTCAAGTATTCCTTTCGGGCTTCAAATTCAGCTGAGTTTAATATTGCCCTATTTATGGGGATTTTGTTCTGTTTTTCTCAGGTTCCATCACAAGGCATGACATTGACTCTCCACCGGTGTCAGATCGCATGATTAGCATCTATAAATACGAGGACATTTTCATGCCTGCCACAGCCTATCAGACATTCTCTTCTCCCTTTTGCCTCCTCCTCATCGTTGCTCTTACCTTCTACCTACTGATGGGCACACCATAACCAGTAAATCCGTGTCACAGAAGAGAGAATGAATACAATTAACTATGGAGCCACTATTAGCACGATTGTGTGCAAACTTTACAGTATTAGAAACAGGCAGCAATAAATTGCGATTCTACTATATCCTCAATCTACGTACACTAAGAAGGTATTTGGACTGCGAATTAATATTCAGTTATATACAAGCAATGATTCTCATTCAGAGGAGATAGTCAACCATACACTTATTACATATTACAATATATTTTATTTTGATAAAAGAGCAGAGTACCCCAAATGGTATGTTACGGTAGGTATTTGAAACAATCTGAGCCAAATTAATATTAATATTCAGTATACTTAAAGTGCGGTCACTTCAGTTCAATTTCAGCAAAATTTTGTGTCCAAAAAATTCCATTGTACATTACTGTCAAACCAAGCAGCTTTCTATTAGTCAAAGCTGTAAATCCATGAAAAACTTCCGAAATCGGTCTGAGGAAATATTTCGCCTTTATGTAAAATTCTCAAACACGTGAATTCCTATTGAAATGACTGGATTTCACCCACAAAAATTTGCTCAACAATGGTAAATGTGACTGCTGTTTGAAGTTGTCTGCTTTCCAGTGTTTTCCAATATATTACAGCTCTGATTACCATTTATTAAGGCTGTGGATGTGGAGTGATGTAAATGAATGCCTGTGATTGACTACGCAACTTACAGCAGTACATAACAGGCCCTACAGCACAAACACACATACATAATATTCATAAAACATTACTGCCTTCCAATTAGCCAGCATTGCCAGCTCAGTATTTGATGATGCATGCCAGCAAACTAGTCTCATCTGAGCCATTTAGATCAGTGTCCACTGGAAAAGAACCAGTCCAGGAGAGAATCATCTGATTTTCATTTCAGTGAATTAAAAACTTTATATACCAAGGACTTCATGCCATTGCAAAACTTACAAAGAGTCCAATAACTGATTGCTGCCTGTGTAGAAAGATTTTTATCACACCAGTTAGTGTGTGGCTGTATTCTGGTAATTATTTGGCACTCTTTGAAAATGCCCTGTAATAACACTTGTATAGCAGACTGAAGAGCAACAGGTAAAAATGTTTAGAAAGGTATAGTTTTAAATATGTTGTTATATTCACCTTAAGGTATATGTGGAAATGTACTTGGAAGAGTGATGCAATTCGTTTTTGATGTGTGCAGGCCAGAGATAATCATGTTATGTAGCAAGAATGAAGGTATGTTTGTTATATTTTAATATACTTTAGAAATTTTGACATTGACAGTATTAGAGACTATGCAATAATGAGTGTGCATAGTGAAGGACTGTGAGCCACTGGGATTTTAAACATGTGACATTCAAGCTCCTACATCGTTAGCAACTTATACGTTCTGACAAGTTTACTGTGAATTCTCGCTGTAATTGGGAAACATGAACACAACACATACTGCACTTTTTAATAAAGCTATGATGCTGAAAATGTGTATTGTTGTCATATTTGTCTGGATAAAATGAGAATATTTTGCCAGTGTCTGAACTCGAAGTACTTAACACAATGTGGCGCCTTAAAGAATAGTATAGGATTTGGATCATCCTAAAATATTTGTTCACGAATTTTTTCAGTCATCCTTTCTGTAAATTAGATTGTTATGCCAGTAGATGGCGACAAGTGACTGTCTTTGTTATGCCACCAGCGAATCAAAAATCATTGATTCATTCTCTCACTCAAACCATTCATTAAAACACTGAATCTTAAGACCAAAACAGTCTTATCTTTATATGGCAGAAATAGTAGTATTCTATTCTAGTATACTATATACAATTCATACTTATTATGCTTTATTATAAGAGTATAATTTTTGCAGCATTTTGCCTTCGTTTTGTGACTTTTCAAACTACAAAATGACTACTGGCAAAATAGGCTACTGTTTGACTTTCGTCTTCTGAACACACACACACACGATTTTTTGAAGAGCATTATTAACTAAATAGCTACATAGACTTCCACTATATGAACCAAAAATAAAACATTTCTTGAAATAACTATTTTATGTTCCATGGAAGAAAGTAAGTCATACAGATTTGGAACGGTGAGTAGGCTACATTTTTGGTGTGAATTATCCCATAACAGGATAACGAACCATCAGCACCACTACATTAAAAAATACTTGCGTCTACGGCATTCGGAATAGCATAGTACCTTGTATCTTACTAAAGTCATATCAAGAAAAGTCAGCGTCTGCTAGGCTGAAATACACTGCAACTTGACTACATTTCCCAGACTTCATCCGACACGTGACGTCCCTCTTTGCCCAGCCCGCAGTTCCTTATGTGGTGGATCCTCCGGACGGAAGCGGAGCGACGCCAGCGACCATGGCAGACACAGAGGACCCGGGTCCAGGCACGGCCACTGAGCCGGACACCCCGCGCACAACCCGGCCACACTACGTCTCGTTCAGCGAGACCGTTCAGCCAGCGGTCGGGATGGTGAGCCAACTACTAAGCCAGCAGTCGTCCCTAAAGTTCGACAAAAACATCAAACAGGCCTTCTACAACACGGGAGCGATGATCTTCGTGGCGATCTGTTGCGGAGCAGCCGTGTTGGTCTACTTCATCCTGGAGGCTTTTCTACGGCCGCTGCTTTGGGCAGTGCTGTGCGGCACTTTCCTGCACCCCTTCAAATACTCGCTCGCCCGCCTCGGCCGCTCTTGGCTCAGCAGCCTGCAGGACAGCGGCACACCGATAGTGGTTGGGACTCTGTTGGTACCGGTGTGGTGCGTGAACTACGGGGTGGAGACTCTGGGCGGACTGGTCGTAGATCGGCTCAATGTACTGCTGGCAGTTGGGGCCGGTGTACCCCTGCTTTATTTCCTATATCTGTTCTGGAGCGTCATTGGCATGCAGGTGATCCTCAGTCACGTCTGTACTGTCATCTGTCTCGGCCTGGATTGTTTCAGTGCGGCGTGGGTGAGTTCTGTCTGTGTATAATGACATGTGAATGGGACAGAGACACGCCTCCTGTCAGACAATGCACAGGTGCTATAGTGGTTGTGGGACAGGGACTTAGAACTTCACTCCTACATGGATAACAGAATAATTCGAGAATTTATGTATATTTATTAATATTTAGTAGTGAAACTTTTGTAACATTCATAACTGTATATTGTGTAACAATGTTTGCTAGTGTAATATGCAGTGTAGTATATATCTTATAGTGTTCAGAGTCAAGTGTGACTCTCCCCAGTGCGGCTAAATCATTTTCTGTGAGTGTGGAGCCCCATCATCATGGGGTGTCACATTTTGTCTGCGCCTCTCTTTCATCCATCAGAGAATCATGTATTTATCTACCAACCCCTGTATGACCATGTCTGGCTTTGGACAAACTAACCACGTGCAAATATATTTGTATACAAAAGTCTTCATTAACACAACTGGCCATGTGATGTGTCAACATATCTAGAACTCATGCTAAATATATGAATGGGAATTGGAGCATGACATCCCAAGATGCTGAAAATATGTCCCTTAGGCTACACACACAGGCCAGATAGATCATAAGACGTATTTTAAGTTCTTCTAAAATTTACAAGAACTCTACAGGACTAAATTTCACCCTGACATTCAATTGAATTACCTTTTTTTTTTTTTACTTCCCTTTAGTGCTTAATTTAATTCTTACAGGTCATGTGATGTCTGTTTTTAGTCCAAATTGTCATCAGCCACAAAAGCACCATCCAGCAGAACCTTGCGATCATCTCATAACAAGAAAACACTAAGGTGCTGATTTATTCAAGAAGATGGCAGTGGAACTGACTGTATTTTAAAGGAACGGGAAGGGAAAAAAAACAATATAATTGTTTGATACTTATGATGTAATTTATGGCAGAATTTCTTATTTGGTAGAACAATTCCTTTGACCCACTTAATTGAAGTGTCTGTTGATACACCCTCGCAGTGCCTATGAGAGCTGCGAACATACTGAGGGTTTTTGTGATTATAAATAGATCGGTGGCAAATGTTTGGTGCAGGCACAGTGGTTACCAGAGATGCCCATGTGTTCTCTGTCGTTCTCTTTCTCAGGTTGGCACTTTAGTTGTGGGCTACGTGTTGGCTGTGGCGTTTAAGTGGACACCTGGCATGGAAGGTTACTTGCGTACAATGTCTGTGCCCGTATGGACAGCACTTATTTTCTACCTGGGTAAGACCTTTCTGTTTTGAAACGGTGAATGACTCTTTTTATATTTAGCATTGACCTAAATCCTGTCAATGAAGGAATGCTAAAAATGTTGTCTTTTTCCCCAGTTTCTCTGACAGGGTCTTGGCGTGTTCCTGTGTTTGTGGTGGTGGTGTTACTGCTAATAGTGGGTTCTCAGGAGAAGCCTACTGTACCAGGGAAAGGTGAAGAGGCTGAGGCTCCAGCTCTCACATGTTATACCTCTGTCCCTGATGTCCTCTGACCTTTACTCCTCTGTTCTCTCTGTATAGGTGAGCTCTCTGGTCAGGTGCTGTCCTTTGCTGCTAATACAATCTTCATGGCAATCTCCTGCAGTAACTTCAGCCATGCTGAAAAGATACAGGAAGAGAAGAGCACCAAAGAACAATGCAGAGGTGACACAAAAAAGATAACAGACCAGTTTTGTCATGTAGCTGTTTGAAGTTATTTGCAGAGCTGTTTCCCCTTTTGAGGGAAAATCTGTGGGATTCTGCAGAAATTATTTAAATGTGCAAGATTCTCTGTGGGTCAGGTTATGACTGACTTTTAGCAGTGTGTATATTTAAATTTAATAACTATATAGTCTGTTTTGCTGCATGTTTCAGAGTGAAGCGCGGCACTATTTTCTTTTACACGTGAGAAGCTCATGATCCGGAGTTTTTAATGTCTCAGAGCTGTTTGTTTCACAGTGAATGCAACAATCTCTGCATTTGCTGTGAGTTAAACGTGCATGTTGGGAGCGCAGTATTCTCCAGTTACATTTTATTTTCATAATCATATCATTTCAGACATTTCTGTGAACACATGAATACAGGATTTTACTAGATTTGTGCTGAGAAGCCTTTGTAAACCAGTTGTCATAGAAACTTAGACAAAGAAAAGTCTTCCTTGCAGTTTTCCGCCAGCTCTTTATTGTAATTGTACTACTGCAGTGTACAGTAAAATAATTAATCATACTTATGAAATATTTTTTATAGTGGTTATATTATAATAGTAATATATTTCTGTCTCATTATTGTTATTATTTCTATAGAATTCCACTCAGAGCTATCAGACCTGAGGAATTTCAGACAGTTTCAGTTGGTAAAAAATACTTTATGGTATAAATACTATAAATAAATACTTTATTTATTTTATATCAAAAATAAATTCACTCCGATACTGATTGAATGTTATGCAATTTTTTGTTTGTTGTGACCATTTTTTTCTTGTGGTACCTAAAAATGTATCAAATGCCGATATTCTTCAAGGTATTGTACTGAGGTTTAGAAATTCCAGTATGGTAACAACAATTCTATCATCATTAGTAAAGAAGATTTCTCCTTTCCCTCACAGACTCGATGGACTCCCCAAAGGGACTCTTTAGCATTCCTTCATCCCGGCGGCGTAGCAGACTAGATTTCAGGGGTATCCAGCCCAAAGGGAAGGCCAGTGACATTTACTTTGTGCTGCTCGCGTGGGCTATAGTGCTGGTGCAGATCTGGCTCAACCTCTGGATCTTACAGTTACTGGCCATCCCTGTTGGCGGTAAATTTTGTGTTCATGGTCCTAAGGTCAACAAGTTAAGGATAGTATGCATGTTTTCATGAATGGATGTTATATTTTCCAGTTTGGGTCCTGAAGAAGATGGTTGTCCATTTTGGGATGAAGGACTTCATTGGGCAGACTCTAGTGAAATGGTGGGCCGCTTCTGAGAAGTTTGTGAAAGACAGACAGGATGCTGTGCTGCCTGGACCGATCAAAGGCCTAGCTCAGTTCTTGCTTCGAGTCGACACTAAGGTAATAACTTATATAGATACACACACACAAAAGCACTCGCCTGTCTGCTGACCCACTGTCCTTCAAAACACTTGCTTGCTGGTTGTTGTCGCCACATGTGCACATTTATTTTTGGAGGTGACAGGGATCTGTGATTACAAAGAGGAACTGAATGTGGTTGTGGCTTGCTAATTCTCTTTTTTTCTCACACAACTAAGACAAGAAGTATTCATAGCTGACCGCATAAAAGCTATGAAGGTCAGATGTGGATGTTTCTGTTTATATCATTACTTGTAGAGGCATTTGGGAACAAAATAAAATATTCAACAGAATCTGTTTTCAATGAGAACGAGTAATTCTACAAGAAAATGTTATTAACCTAATAGTTGGAACATGTTTCCTGTCTCTCAAATCAGCTCAAGTGCTCAGATCAAATCAAGAGTAACTATTTTTAGTCTGTGCTCAGTGATGTTGCATTTCTAGTTTGGTAGTTTTTGTT